TCCTTACAAAACCCCTTCCTTCGTCCGTCGTCGTCGTCGTGCGCACCTTTGACGCTCTCTCGTCGAGCTTTCTCGCGACTGGCACCTACCGTCAATTAATCAACGGGAACATGCGCGCGCGTTGCAACGTTGACAATGATAATATAAAATTATTCGCTACGCTCTCGCGTGAGCGCGAACGAATGGACGAGCGGCGCAGCGTCGCGATAAATTCATATACCGCAAACGGAATGATTTGTTAATGGACATATCAGCCACGGGGCATTGCAGGGGGCTCCGCGACAACTGCAGTTGCGCGCCGCGGTAGCGCGCGATGTTTCGCTCGTTTATTCAGTCACGTTCGCAAGCAGCCGGGCGAGAAACCGGGCGGACACCGACGCGCTCTGACGTTAGTCGTGCAGCATTACGCCCGACGCGATCGACGCGAAGAAGCATCCCTTCGGGATGATTTACGGATCGTACGCTAAAAATCTGCGGGCGACATGCGCGAGAGAGCGCGGCACGCTTGCGTCACCGCGCGTACAACAACATACTTTCGCACACCTTACACACGTCTGCGTGGAAGGCGCAATTGGAAGCCGTCCCCCCCCCCCGGCGTCGTCGTGACACCGTGTCCACGCTACACGTACACCAAAGCGACGTTACGTGTAGCATCTGGTGTGTACTTTTGTCCGAGCAATTTTTATCTCTCACACCACGACGACCACGACGACCACGACGACGTTGACCGTTCCCGTTTCCGTTCACGGGGTGTGTCAATGTATTCTAAATGTCATTTATACGCGTATCAAAAAGGATCGACCTGTGCAGATCAACGTGGAAAAAATCGAGGATGGTTACAGGACAATTAAATGTTTGCAACGTTGCGTTTGCAACTCGAAATCGCTACGGTAACAGTATTTTTTTTTATCATGCGAGCTAATATCGGTGCCAACAAACTGGCACTGAATGAACTCGAGTCCGAGCGGAGCGCCGTTTCCTTTGTCAAAAACTTTCGAATGCCGCCACTAACGCGGCGTTCCGGCGTACTCTTTTACTACAAACTACCACGGAAGATGTACTTTCCTTTGTCACAAAAGATACAACTTTCCCATTGATCCGGAATTAAGCGGAATTAACGGCGTGATAGGAACACACTTGAGGGCAGTGTATCGGACGTCTGTGCACCGACACGTTTAGAATGCGCGTCTAGAATGTCGAAGGTATCATTTTTTGCGCAAGTCAAACTAAACGAAGCGACTAGCGAACAAATGAATTACCTCTAATTATAAATGAAATGTGAGGATCAGCGGCATATTACGCAGCCAACCATAAAACATTTGGCCAACGTCTACATTAAAATATAATAATATTTGCAATTAAAATATACAAAATGTAATATTCGTAAACAGTTTGTGCATAAGATAAAACGAACGTTCATAAAATGTTAAAAATATGAAAAATCAATTTTGAATAGTGTTTACTCTCTTTCCACTCTAATTTCCTCAAATAACGAAATAAATATGGCTCGCCTTGTTATTAACCGCAACTCTGCTATATATTTAAGCAGAGCGATAGTTTAGATAGTCTACGCGTAAATTATCGTTATTTTCTCAGTGTTGCTTGAAAAGACCGAAACGTCCATTAATCAGAAAAAATTATTCTGATAAAGAATATATATGATCATTTTAAAAAAGATTAAAAGAATGATTCTCCATTCCAACAGAATTGCGAGAGAGTATTTATCAATCAAATCTCATAATTCCACATATTGTTGTTTTGATTGCCTCGACGCGTAAAATAAAATTTTAATTGAAGATAATTCAACAGAAATGCATGGAGGGATTCGCGAAAATTCCCGATTTCGTTTCATCGTGAAAATAATATAGATTACCTCGTTAAATCTGTTTCAAAATATTTCATAAAAATGTCAATCCTATTTGTAAAATGTACACCCATATATGTACATCATATACTTCTCTCTCTCTCTCTCTCTCTCTCTCTCTCTCTCTCTCTCTCTCTCTCTCTCTCTCTCCCCCACCCCTCTCTCTCTCTCGGTTGAAAATATATAATTTACAAATTAATCAGGTCTCCTCTCGCTTCCCTGAAAAGTAGGTAATATCTTAATTGATACCCTTTTCGTACCACACGTCGACAAGTCATCGACGTTAATCTTCGATCGAATATCATCGATCTTGGCTCGAGGCGACGTCAACGAGCAAATGTGGGTTACACTCCGCTCGGTAAACGCGAAGGCAAGGCAAAGCGGAGAAATCAAGGCCCGTCACACAAAAGCCGTATGCTCGAGCCGTTCGCTGCGCAACATGCGAGGCACGACGTGCACAACCGAGGACAATAACTATTAGCAAACTTTATAACGAACTTGGGTGTACCCGCTCATCCACCGAGGGATCAGACGTGAAATCGGCGTCGTGTCGCCCGATATCTACGTCGACATCGGCTCCTTTGTCGCGAACTGCGAACGATTAATGGCAAATTGTGTACGCCTTCGCGTTCGCGAACGCTATGAACGACTCGCGACAATACGACTTTCGCGACGCGAAAATCCGGCCTCGATATATCTCGCGCGAATGACGCGAGGAAACGGACTGTTTCGTACTCGCGAATGTTCTCTCTTGTACCTTTTCATTTTCGCACCGTAATCTTCAATCTCATTGCGAAACGCGATGAATCGCGATTAAAGTAACGGCAAGACAGTGTGATTCTATGTACAGGGACTGGGGTGGGTTTCTCGTGATCCTCTCTTTGGATCACACCTGTGTGTGTGTGTGTGTGTGTGTGTGTGTGTGTGTGTGTAAGAGGTAATTATTTATCTTTACAAAGTCTTGGAAAGAGAGTTTGCAACGGGGGAACTTTTAGGAACTGCTAACATATGCTAACTCTACGTTTCACTTTCTACAGGACGCTGTTCGTTTGCTTGTTTGTTTGTATGCAGCAATGCGTACACGCTCTAATACTGAAATCGAAAGATATATTTCCGAAAATATATTTCTCCTCGGTTCTTCCCACGAGATTGTTATCGCTACGTCGTTTGAATCCAAAGTTAAATCGTCGAATCTTAGAACGCTGTGTCGTCGACGATTCATCCTTCATTCCGCTTGTTTTTCGCATAATCGCGATACCTTCGCCCACGATGGCGTTTGCTCCCCTGAATCGAATCTCGCGCTTTTTCTCGTCGCCACGAACCAGAGAGCGACGTTACGTCGCGCGATTATGCTCTCGCGCATCCGCCGATTATACTTTCTCGTCGGA